AATGCCTGCCTTCCCAGAAACTGGATCATATGAACCATCAATATAAATTTGAAAACTATTCCGAATGTTATTGTCAGCTCAATAATTGTCATTTTCTTCCTCCTCCGRTACCTGTTTGTTTTCTATGGTATATACTATTTGATACTTCCCACTACCCAGCATGGATCTTGTTCTTTGTTTGTGTGCAGTTTGCCATTTCTTGCATCCCAAATTAGTGTAAATATGACGAGGAACCTTCCCCCACCATGCACTTTATTCCTCTTTTGTGATTCAATAACTTAGTTTTTTCCCCATTCTCCACTATTAATTGAAGATGAGTATTTATTTGTTCAGACTTCAGAATTCAGTCCCAGACGAGTTTGGAACCAAACTGCTTTTGCAAAATCACATTGGAAAAATAGATGATGGGATGCCTCTATCACTTGATTACAGAGATCACAGATTTGGCCCATTTCATTTGGAACTCCTTTTATTCTTTCTTACCAGCAGTCTCTTTGCTGCCTTTTCTTATCATTCATTTCATTGTGGTTACCCATTTAGGATTCTCTCAATTCTTCTTGTCATAATCATCGTTATCATGACTGCTATTGTTGTTGTTCTTATTGTTACCTTTTCTTTTAAAACTGTATTTAAGTTTCCCTGTTCTTCTTTCCTTCCCCCTTCTTTCTCATTTTTGAAATTGCACTTTTTGAGTCTGTACACTGATAACTCATTTGAGGTTTTTGTTGGTTTTTCTTATTTTTCATGTGTAAAATTGTTTTTACTTTGCATTTTTTTTTGCATTATCCTTTCTTATTGTTTGTTTTTTAGGCATTGGGTGTTTATCTCTCATTCTTATAAAAAACGGGCTTCATTAAATGAGATTTCAACTGTTAAAGTCTAAATGATTTGATGATGACACTTGATGGTGCGCAATCCGGTCACTCCTAGTTGGCACTTGCGTGGCTTCCCAAGAAGTACCTGAGAAGAGGAAGAAGAATCCTCAGGGGGTTTTCCCGGCGGGAACGCTCCGACGATTAAGTCAGTATTCTGAGTAAGAAGCAAAGAGAAGATAAAAACTAAGAGTGAGGTAATGCAAGAGATTTCAAGATGATACATCTGTTCCTTGATATTAACTCCTTATAACAGAAATCCGTTGTATCAGGCCCACAGGCCTTTGACAGGGCGGGTATAACCGCCACTGTCAGCCTGCCGCAGTCGTTACTGGCAGGGCTGAGGTGGCACGTGCGGGGCCGTCGCCGCAGTGTACGTGCCTGTCAGGTGTAAGGCACCCTCTGGAGGTGGCAGACACGACGCTGTCTGACGAGGGATATGGCCGCTGTTCCCAGATTTGTCGGGTACGGTGGTCGGCAAAAGGTCTTCTTGCGATGTGACGGACTCCCCTTCTGCGAACTACCCTGTGCCGGGTTATCCCGTAAGCGGCGTGCTGCCTGTGGAAAGCTATGCCGAGCTGGCTGACCTGAGGTGTCTATACCTCGGGGTGTCCAGAGATGGGTTGGTGCGTTCTTGTCTAGGAGTGGCCCGAGGTCCATTGGGAGGGGCTCGGGCCTCAAGAGAGGTCAAGGTACCCCGAACTCGGGGCGCCCCAAAGTGCCTTAACCCCGGGGATGAGGTGCAGGTAAGGTGGCTCCCAGCGTGTATTTTATCTGTCCAGTTGCCGAGCTGAACTCGATGGGACCTTCCCTCTGAGTTATGGTTGCATTCGTTGCGCTGTCATGCTGAGTCACTGTTTGAGTAGGGTCACACCCACGTGTACCCGTGCTACGAGGTCGGGCCAAATCACCCTCTATCAATTGCCCCCCACTCCCTGCGCTGGCGGCGATGACCCAGCGCAGGGAGGTCATGACGCGCCGGGTGGATTTGGCGTTGGTACTTATGCCACTCCATTTGCGCGCTCCGTCCAGCTAGACCAGCCTAGTGCCCGGTTCGATCAAAAGAGACCCAAGTCGCGTCTAGTTTACGCGCGGACCTCACGCGATTTGGACTTTGCGGACGTCAGAAACACGCTAAACTGTTTTCACCTTGAGGAGCCTGCAGCTGTGGCTATAAATAGGGGGGACCCTTGGCCATTTCTTCGCCACAAGGCTTTCGTCGTTGGTGTTTGAGCTCGTGCTAGAGGTCTCTTAGCTCGGGTCTTCCAGTTCGTCCCGTTCTCCCAGTCCGGTCGCGTTCCTTTGGTGAGTTCTCCCGAGCTTCCTTTCCCCTTTCAGTTTGTTTCTGTCTGTCATGTCGTCTAGCGTAGGTAGCGTAGCCGATGAGCCCGGGGTGGGTACCTCGGCCCTGGGTGGCTCTTCGGCTGCTCCGCCACCCGACGCACGGGTGGCTTCGGGTAATTTGGCGTCTACCTCCAACCAAGGTCAGGTGTCGGACCAGTTCGACCCTTCCACCATGACCTTGGAGAGGCTCCGGGACCGCATACAGAGGTTCCATCTTCCTAGGGAGTACTCATACAGTCTCCCTACCGGCAACTTCTCGTGGGAGCACGGTCCTGATGAGATCGTGGTCTTCAGGGAGCAGTTGGTAGCTGGACTTCGACTCCCTCTCCACCGTTTGATTACTGAGGTGCTGGTGCACTTCAACATTACTTTGGACCAACTTCACCCGAATTCCATATGAAATATAGTTGGGACCATTTCTCTTTGCTTTGACCGATCTTTCCCTATCGACCTGGACATTCTTAGCACCATTTTGGCCATAAAGAAGAGTGCTTCGGGCACTCTCCCCGGGCACAGGCAGTCTTACTACCTGTCTCCCCACCCTGGTTTCAAGCTCATGCTCAGACTCCCGAGTAAAGTCCTGGCCTGGAAGCGGGACTACTTTGTAGTTCGGAGCAGCATGGGGTGGCCCTTCCCTACTGACTAGAGGGTGGCTGTTCAAGACCCCGGTGTCATCTTAGACGGGAAGACCAAGAAGGCACTCTAGATGCTAGCTCAGCTCGGGTTAAATTATAAAGACTTCACATCCGAAGAGAAGCTCGTCCAAGCCGGCTTGAGTTCGGGTAGGTTTTGCTTTACTTCGGCTTTTTGTATGTATGTTTATTTCGGGATTGCTAATGTCGAAATTCACTGCAGGCCCCATGGAGGCAGAGAAGATTGACAACCAAAGACTCTTCCGCCAGATGAAGACGAAGAAGCGCGTAGCCAAGAAGGCATGCATTGAGTCTTCCCAAGCCTCAACCGTGACTCAACCTCCGTAGGCTTCGGCTCCGGAGCCCGAGCTCCCAGGCACTCCACCTGTCATCGACCTGGAAGGAGACGCGGTGCCTCAGGGGCCCGAGGTGGTAGCGGAGCCCTCTGCTAGGCCCATCGAACCTGCTGCTGAGAGCGTTGCCGAGGCTCGTGCTACAGAGGCTGCTACTAGGGCTCATCCTACTGATGCTGCCGCTGAGACTTCTGAGGAGTCCACTCAGGATGTAGAGATGACGGCGTCCAGCTCGGAGGGTCAGGGGAGCCAAACCGTCTTGAATCCCCAGTGCAGTCTGGAGAAGAGCAAGCTGGCTGCATACCCGGGGGAGGTCACCGCGTGGGCTGATCTCACTCCTGGTCAGCTCGGTGCTCGAGCTGCCACCCATACTATCAGCATCTGAGGCGGGCTCTGGAGGTTGAGAAGTCATCCCGCGCAACCCATACCGAACTGAGGGCAGTTCGCGGTCAGGTCCACCGCCTAGAGAGTGACGCATTGGCTTAGAAGAGCTTCATCGAGGTGCTGATGGCGGAGAAGGGTGAGCTGGCCCGAGACAAGGACAGGTTGTGGGCCGAGGTGAATGGGCTCAAGGTCGGCCAAGAGGCCTTGGGGCTCGAGGTGGACAGCCTCAAGGCTGAGCGAGACGCCCTGAAGCTCGAGATGCAGGGTCTCAAGGAGGCCAAAGGGAAGCTGGAGTGCGAGGTGGAGGACCTCCAAGAAGATATTAAAGAGAAGGTCGCCATCTTCGAGGATGCTCTCAAGGAGGCCAAAGCACAGGCCGTCGTCGACTATGTCATCTCTTCAAGGTTTGACGATGTGATGATCGAGGCCTACCGCAAGGGCTTCAAGCTCAGTCGGTGGCTAATCAGGCACCTCCACCCCGAC